GGAAAATTTGTTTTTGTTCAATTAACTATCAAACTCATACCCAGCAGCCTTCCTGCCGCCAGAAAACTGATATTTTTGCCTCTTTTTGCTCCTTTAAGTGCCTCTGCTTGTTTCACAGGGTTCTGCCCATTGACCACAATCCATGGGGCACATTCCAGAAAGCTGGGTTTTCTGACTCCTGCCGCCCCTGTCCAACACCAACTTTACCAATGGCAGGGGAGGCTTTGGGAAACCAACTTACCAGTGGGCAAATTGAAGCCTTTAATGAACATCCTCCTGACCACCACTGGGATTTTAGCCAGGGTGGGAGATGCTCATACTAAGTGCGCAGTCCTGTCGGGTTGGTGGCCAGTCAAGTAGGCGTAGGGGTGTCTCCTACTGTCAGAGCTCACCTCACCTCCTCAAATTTCCCTTCCTCAATGTCACATTCATCTCATATCTCCCAATCTCCTGCTCGCTGGAGACAGACAGCCTAGCCCTGGCAAGACCTCAGACGTTCTTTACTGTCTGGTCTGTACTGCTGATTGCCTGCAATGGCCACTGGTCCCAGTGACGCTGCTGTGCCCCATATGCTGCCAACCATTCAAATTGTTGGCAACTCTCAGAGGTGGGAGGCCATAAATAGCAGTCAGGCAAGCTGACCAAGTGGGAATCGACTAGCCCCCAATGTTAGTAAATGTCGAATCTACAGACAGACTCCGGCCACAAGAATCTGTCCCGTTCTAACTTTCCCTTCCCATCCTAGCCCTGTTTCACTCAACAATATTACCTCCTCCATTTAACAAACCTCTCCTCAAATACATTGATGCTTTCTTCTTTAACCACCATGTTTAGATGTATTTGGAATTAGCCCAGTCAAGGTAGGCCTGAATGATGAAAATATAAATATGAAGCTATATCTAACTGACACCTTCTGCTAGCTGCTATTGAAGTTGTAGGCTTTCCACATGAGCTACATAATCAAAGAGGTCTGCAGCAGTTCAAGAAAGCCATCTTCATGTGGGCAATTGGGGATATGCCATAAATGATGGCCTACCCAGTTGATGCCCACATCCCATGAAACAATATATTTTAAAAAGATTGATATTCACAACCACTAGATGTCTCAAAGCACTTTACAGCCAATGAAGTACCTAGTTTGGTCTCCATTGTAATTTAGGGACACAGCAGCCATTTTTTGCACTGCAGAAACTCACAAGCCTTTTAAATAAGAATTGGATAATTATCTGGAGAAGAAATATTTGCAGGGTCTACAGAGGAAAGGCAGCAGAGTGGGACTTGGGGAGTTGCTCCTGCAGCAAACCAGCACAAATGCAATGGCCTCCTGCTATGATGTAACATTCTGTGATACAATCTTGGAATTCAGAATCTCACTTTCTTCCCTCTCTTAACCTGCCATTAGAATCTTCAAGTCTCACCGTTTACATAATTTGCAGGCCAAGGGCCTAACTGCCTCCTCATATTTTGTCTGTCCTCACATCAGCAGATCCCTCATGTACTCATTAAGCCTCCCTTTAATGCCTGGGTTGCCTCAGCTATGCCCCTTTTTGGAGCAAGTTTCCATATTCTCACTCAATGTTTGTCTCACCTGCTCAGCTTTTAGCTGATGTGGATAGTGTGCAATGTCTTTTTGGAGTCTCTCCACTTTCTCCCACTCCTCATCCAGTCTGCTGCGCCTGTATTCCGACTGGCGATGTGTGATACGGTGTAGAATGGCTTGGTTCTCCTGTGCTATTCGTTTGAGCTCCCTCTGACGCTTCTCTGCATTCAGACTACATTGAGAGATACCGGGAGATCTTAGCTCAGGAATAACATCAAAGTGGTACAAAGAAGATAAAGATTAAATGAGAAGGTGGTGACACTTCTGGGCCAGGAAGTTTGATCTCATTCATCCCAACAAGCAAATGAGGTGCGTAAAATCGGGTAGGGAATGCTATCTAGCTGTCTCTGGTGTATTTTATCAGGAGTGGGCTAAATGACCTGGTGATCTGCCCATCCAAGAACGAACCCAAGACCTTAGTGTCATCTAACATATTTAAGATGAAACAAAACATCCCAGAAAATCAAGGGGCAGAAGGGATGTAGGAACATAACAAACAATCTGGATCACAAGTGGAAATGTACTGGGATGAAAGGCTGACAAGATCCCTGGATCCTCCCGGTGACACTAGAGTGATTGAAGAGCTGATTAGCCACTGCCTCTGGAAGCAAATTATCCTGCCTCAAAAGAGGCAAAAAAAACCATGACTTTGGGCAATTAATTGCCAGAGCCATGTGGAATGGAGTCATGAACTCCAGGGGAGTGGCTGAGGTGGGATTCTGACTTTCAGCTAGTGTGCTACATTACATTAAATCCCTTCCACAGGATGTATTTCAGAAACTCGACAAGGTTCCTTCAACAACATCTCAAGCCTGGCACCTCCACCTCACCACCATGTTCTGGAGAGAGGGGAAGTGTACCATCTCCAAATTCACTGGGTTATGCTCAGGCAGCAGCCAGGGTTCTCCAATTTGTTACGGTTCCAGATGGGGTACCCAAAAATCATTAGGTTGCCAGGTGAGGAGGGATGAACTGGCTCCCCTTCTATATTCACCTACCCCTTGGTTGGTCACAGCAAGGCTAATTTTAAAACTGACCTCTTCCATTGTGGATACCTTTATTCCAGACTTAAAGGAACTTGTGTTTTAAGAGGAGCCAATTTAACCGGGCTTTCATCTGTTAACAAAGAGTGAGTGTTTTTGCGAAATTGCTCAACATGAGAAGAATTAGAAATACGATACATGTAGTTACAGATAACAAGAGGCTTCAGTGCAAAATGGTTAAGGATGAAGAAAAGGAATTTCAGACGGAATTTTTTGCAAAGAAGACATAATTGAATGTTGTGGCCATTGCAATGGAAATTACTGGTTGTGTTGACATTGGTGTTTGAATAGTCAGTTTTATGATCCGTAGTTTTGCAGGTTGGTTGAGATTCTGTTGTTCTGATTCCTCGTGACCTGATTCCAGCATTCCTTCTGTGTTCTTTTGTGGTTGTGTTTCCTGTTCCCTGGCTCGCTAGCTCATTGACCTCTAACATTCAGAATGATGGAAGCCCTTAATCTCATAACAGGTGTGCCTCGGGGAGAGTTCTTTGACTGTGACCTTCATGGCACTCTAAAACCCAAACCCAGGCAGGTACACATGATTAACTTAGCACAATCAGTCCCATAGCACACTCCAGTAGAATTGAAACAGGCTTTTTAACCTCTGTCCTTGTCTATACTTCAAAGGGAAATACACAAAATACGTCTGCAATGGTGGAGCAGTTAAAACCAAGAATGTTCAAGAGACCAGTTCTGGTGGGATACAGATACCTCAGAGGGCTGTGGAGCTGGAGGGGATTAGCAAAGGAATGAGACCTCAGAGAATTTGAAAACAAGGAAAGTGTTGCTTATCTGAGCACCATTGAAATCAAATCTAAAATCAAGCACTGAAATCTTAAGCCTCTTCTATGTGTTCCTAATTTCTGTACCTTTTATTTGCGTAGTTATTCCAATTGTCCACAGTCCCATTGGAACTCATGATGTCGGCCAATTTGCTAGAAAGAATCTGATTGTCTCTCCTGATGATAGCCAAACGTTCTTTCTCTAGCTGAATGAAGAGCATGCAGTCATTAATGATCAGTGCATCTGGATTCTTTGTGGACATTGCAGTTAATTATTGCTGAACTCACCAACAAAATATAATATTCAACACACAGGACAAACTCAATGAGACTTTGCTTCTCTATGTAGAACTTGTTCCATCCTCCAATCTAACCTTCTGCCTATGGACTAATTCATCAAAAACTTTTCTTGTAGAGTGTGGCTGTTGCCAATTTAGTTGCCCATCCCAAACTGCCCTTGAACAGAATGGTTTGCTGGGTCAATTTAGAAGGCAATTCAGAATCAATCACACTGCTGTGGGTCTGGGGTAAAATGTAGACTGGACCAGGTAAGCACAGCAGATCTCCTTCCCTAAAGGACATTATTGAACCTGATAGGTTTTTACAGCAATCAATAATACTTTCATGATTACCATCTCTGAGGCCGAGGGTCTCTTAGCTCAGTTGATTGGATACCTAGAGAGTAATGCTGAGTGATAGTAACATACAAATTCAATCCCTGTACTGGCTCTGCTAGCTTATGGAGTCCAACCTCTTTGCTTTCCCCTGTGCTCGCTGCAGAGTGGTGTCCCTAAAGCTATCAATGGCCAATTATCTTGCTTTAATACACAGAGATACCTATGGTCCTTTGTGGACTTGTGCAAATACTGAGAGTGACTTTACAATTCCAGATTTCTAAAATTAATGAACAGAATTTAAATTCCACTAGCTGTTGATTTATTAGTTAACCTGAAAGGGGAGATGGTGGCAAATCGGAGTAAATGCTCACTTACTATTGCTGCTCACCGTGCAAGACTGAATTTGAAATAAAGATGCACATTTATACCTGTAGTTTTTTTAACTTGACTTGAAGATGAGCAGGAGTCTGAGGTCCTCTTGTATCCACAACCGTAGTTGCCTTTTGCACCTATGGATTGAGCATACTAATATTTATACTGTCAGACATTTCATGCAGAAACAAGCTTCAAATCCAACTTTCAGGTAGAAAATATCCCTATTGCTGAATGTATAGGAGTGGGAGATGTAGTGTGCTGGATTACTCCCCACTTTGCCTTGATGAGTGCTGCTCATATGATATTGATAAAATGCAAAAACCTTCTCAGAGTTCAGAAACACACCAGTAACATGATATTGAAAAATAATTGAAATGCAATTTTAATACCATATTTAAATTTTTGATAATGTTTGACACAACCTTTATCCTGTGCCTTTGATAATCACTCTTGTCCCATTTCTGTTGCAGGTACTTGTTGCTGGTTGGAATGATGGTTTGATAGGCTCGATGCATCTTCCAATATCCAGAGATGTGAATGCGATCGTAGAGTGTTGAGTTACTAAGTAGTTTAAAATGGATATGCTGGCCAGTGAGTCAGAACACTACCCCACACTGAGCTACGTTTCCTGGGTCCTAGTGCCTGTGTCTAAAAATGTGTATGGAGGCAGACAAATTCATTTTGCATACACAGCAAACCTTTTAACTTCATTCCAATTTCATTGGAAGGAGGTCATAAACTTTAGCTGAGGTGAAGAGAGGTCAAATAAATAAAACCTCTTTTTTTTTATCCAACAGCGATAAAGCAACACAAAGGCATAATACTGGAATACTGCGTTCAATTCTGATCTCCCTTCTATAGGAAACATGTTGTTAAACTTGAAAGGGTGCAGAAAAGGTTTACAGGGATGTTGCCAGGTTGGACCTATAGGGAGAGGCTGAAGTAGGCTGGGGCTATTTTCCCTAGAGTGTCGGAAGCTGAGGGGTGACCTTATAGAGATTTATAAAATCACGAGGGGCATGGTTAGAGTAAATAGGCAAGGTCTTTTCCCAAGGGTGGGAGGAGTCCAAAACTAGAAGGCATAGGTTTAAGGTGAGAGGGTAAAGATTTAAAAAGGACCTAAGGGGCAACTTTTTCACGCAGAGGGTGGTATGGCCTGCCAGAGGAGGTGACAGAGGCTGGTACAATTAAAACATTCAAAAGACATCTGGATGGGTAAATGACTAGGAAGGGTTTAGAGGAATATGGGCCAAATGCTGGCAAATGGGACTAGATTAATTTAGGATATCTGGATGGCATGGACAAGTTGGACCGAAGTTCTGAGGAAGGGTCATGGGACCTGAAATGTTAACACTGATTTTTTTCTTCACGGATGCTGCCAGACCTGCTGAGCTTTTCCAGCAACTTCTGTTTTAGTTCCTGATTTACAGCATCTGCAGGTTTTTTCAGTTTTTATTAATTTGGACCAAACAGTCTGTTTCCATGCTGTGCAACTCTATGACTCTAGTAAGGATGCTGGAGATCTGAAATAAAAACAGAAAGTGCTGGAGAAATTCAGCAAGTCTGGTAGTGTCTATGGAGAGATAAAAACAGAGTTAACATTGTGAGTCCCATGTCTTAGCAACAACGTAATGCCTGTTAATTTCCCCAGGATGGTCTGTCATTTCTGGAGGTCATTCTGGTACCACAGTATCTATTGAAGGTGTCTGTTTTGGGGGAATCCTAGATAGCCCATTGTCAACCACCAATGCACCCTGGAAATGCAGCGCCAGGAGTATGCCATTTAGGCCCTTGAGCACTTTGATGAGATCATGGCAAATGCATCACTATGCCTGCAAATTGCAACCTGGAGAGACGCCCCAAGTCAGAATATGCTATGTCTCTTGCTGAATGGAAGCCACAAGGTCCTTAGCAATTCCTGAAAGTTCTGCTGATTTTTCATTCAGAACCCCATCCCAGAAGGCCACAGAATGCCCAGGCATGGACTTGTGAATAGTTATTATTATTATTCTAGAACTCTTTTTTTACCTCTACTGCATCTTTGTTTGCATTCTAGATTCTTCACCCAGCTGGTGCTAGGACCCTGAGTAAATCTTCCGTCTTTTCTGAAGATTCAAATCAAAAGTCTGTTTCTAAGATACTTGTTGCACTTTTACCAATAGTTCCTTGTCTGTTGAAATACTTCACAGTTTATAATATCACCGGAGCAACCAGAGACTTCCGAGGAATTAAAGATCAACAGAGCATTGACCCAAGTCCAAAAAGAGCATGATAATTCGATTCACTTTCCCCTCATTTTGTCCTTTGTTACCTGTTTCAGGTTTTGCCATATGGGGGCATTTACTGTCTGACCTTATGGAGTCATCGAGGCTGGGCTTTACCAGGGGGTGTTTTCCGGCCATTTGACTTGCTAGACCATTTCAAAGTTTATTAAAAGACAATCATAATGAAGGAAAATATTGCATTTATTTTGCATCTTTCATCATCCTGGGGCATCATTACAACCAATGAAGTAGTTGTTGGTGTCACTGCTATAAAGAATAGAATAACTAAGTGATGTACAGTGAGATCCCACAAATAGAGAATCTGTTTTCTGTGATGTTGACTGAGGGATAAACATCAGCCAGAATGTCAAGGGTGACACTCCCGCTGTATGATTCTATACAATGTATCTAATGATAAAAGGTTTGACAGACTGGGCCTGTATCCATTCGGGTTTAGAAGAATGAGAGGTGATTTTATTGAAACATATAAGATTCTGAGGGAAGTTGGCAGGGTGGATGCCGAAAAGATGTTTCCGCTTATGGGAAAGACTTGAACGAGAGGATAAAGTATAAAAAGAAGAATTCTCACATTTAGGACAGAGATGAGGAGATTTTTTTTCTGTGAGTCTGTGGGTCTCTCTTTCAATGCAAAGCTCTGTGGGAGGGTGAGCTGTGAGGAGGATGCAGAGATGCCTCAGTGTAATTCTGACAAATTGAATGAGAGGAAAATGCATGGCAGGTTAAGCGTAATGTGGACAAATGTGAGATTTTCCACTTTTGTAGCAAAAACAGGAAGGCAGATTATTATCTGAATGGCAATAGATTGGGAAAGGGGGAGGTGCAATGAGATTTGGTGTCCTTGAAAGTAAGCATGTAGATACAGCAGATGGTGAAGAAGGCAAATGGTATGCTGGCCTTCATAGCAAGATGATTAGAGTACAGCAGCAGGATATCTTGCTGCAATTGTACGGGGCTTCTGTGAGACCACACCTGGAATATTGTGTGCTGTTTTGGTCTCCTTGTCTGAGGAAGTATGTTGTGGCGCTGGAGGGAGTGCAACAAAGGTTTACCAGACAGATTCCTAAGATGTCAGGACTGACATATGAAGAGAGATTGGATAACTTAGGACTATATTTGCTGGAGTTTAGAAGACTGAGGGCAGGATCTTACAGAAACCCACAAAGTTTTAACAGGACTAGACAGGGTAAATGCAGGAAGGATGTTCTTGATGACCAGGGAGTCCAGAACCAGGGGTCACATTCTAAGTATCAGAGATAGTAGGAACTGCAGATGCTGGAAAATCTGAGATAACAAGGTGTAGAGCTGGATGAACACAGCAGGCCAAGCAGCATCATAGGAGCAGGAAGGCTGACGTTTCGGGCCTAGACCCT